CGCTGCTCACACAGACAATGATGTTACGGAATTGTTCTAGAAAAGACCGTTCACACATCCATTCCAAAATACCAGTAAATTCTGACATCATTCACCACAAATGAGCTTTATACGACTGCGCTTGTATTTGTAAACATTTGACTAAATTACAAACTCTGTGGATGATCAGTATTGTGAACAACTTCGATGCAAACATATGGAGGATCACTTTCGCATGACAAGATGTTCATAATATGTGCGTGTGCTGGCGCTCACAGGCACACACAAAGCTTGAAGGTAAACAAACAGCGGCTTATCATGAGCATATTATCGATGATTATTTACACAGTTGGCATTGAGAAGAACATATAAAGTTATCTGACTAACTTTAAGCAGCTAAATGTGTCTGGGAAAATATTCACAGGCTTCTAATCTCACAAACCGCACGGACGTGAATGCATCTGACTGTTCTGATTGGCTAAAGCAGACGTCTCACGTCAGCACGTTCTAGACGTGCACGCGCTCTTTCCGGCAATCTTCCTTCTGCATTCACACAGCGCAGCATTCCGGCAAATTACCGGTAATGTTACAACTTCTCTTTCCGGAAAATAGCCAGAATGAATTTACCGGTATTTTCAAAAAGGGCCTGTTCACACATACAACCTTTCTGTAAAATCGCCGGTAATTTTCTGGAAAGGTCTGTATGTGTGAAAGGGGCTTATGACGACGACGACCAGGTTCGAGTCCAGGAAAGAGCGGTTCCAGAAATCAGGTAGGACAAAAACAGAAACCAAAAAACAAAACCAACGAGTGAACAACAGGGTGAGTAAAATCTGAAAACGTGGTTAAAAAAAAATCAGACAAATCTTTTTCTGGACGACTTTTCTAAACCGTCAGTTGGGTTTAGGGGAAGGAGGAGAGAGGGTCCGTCGATTGGCCGGTCACCCAGTCGATCATTTAGTCATTCAGCCAGTCGATAGCAGCCCCTGGTGGGTTTACATGAGAACAGCCCAGGCGGGAACAGCACTTGCGAGAAAAATTTGAGATACGAAAAAGCGCACACATCGGTCTATCGCAGATTCGCGAAAACAAAAATTGGAAAAATATGTACTTCCCAGGACATTTTTCGCGGTCTCCAAAAACGTCCACAGGACGACGTTGTCAGAATGAGCCGGGGTTGGATAAACATAAAAAGGTATCTGTTAAAAGTATTGAGCTGAAAGATCAGACACATTCTGGGGGATGTCTGAGACAATTGAATAAATTAATAATTTTCATCTTGCAAAAAAGGGCAAAATGGGAGTCCTTTAAATCATTCAAGATCAAGGGGGCGGAGCTTAGCTGAATTCTGTTAATAGTAGAGATGCACAGAAATTAAAGTTCTGGGCTGACACTGAAAATTCGGGATGTTCTTGGCTGAAAACCAAAAATACAATGCTTTGTAATAATTAGGTCACACTTTACAATAAGGTTCATTAGTTAATGCTAATTATTGCATTTACTAAAATAAACAAACAATGAACAATACATCTACTACTGTAATTGTTCATGTTAGTTAACGTTAGTTAATGAAAAGACAGTAGTTCATTGTTAGATCATGTTAACTCATGGTGCATTAACTAATGTTAACAAGCACGGACCTGAATGTTAATAATGCATTAGTAAATGTTCAATTATGATTAATAAATGCTGTACATGTGTTGTGCATGATTAGTTCATGTTAGTAAATGCATTAACTAATGAACCTTATTGTAAAGTGTTACCAATAATTATTTATTAATTAATGGTTTCAACTGATCAAGGATTTAAAATGCATGCAGTTGCAGTTGTTTGTTTTTGACTGAGTATTGGAAGCACAACCTGTAAAGGCTCCGCCCTCTTCTGGAAAGATCATTTGAATGTAAAGATGCACACAATATTTGGCATTGGATTTACAGCACGATAAACAATAAAAAGTATCTGTGAAATGTTTTGAGCTGAAAGTTTAGACACATTCTGGGGGATACCTGAAACAAATTAATACATTAATAAAAGAGTAATTATTTTGATGATTTTCGCAATCTTTCTAAATGATACATTAAAGGGTCAATTTTCATTTTTCAAGTGTTTATTAAAAATAAATCCATCAAAAGCTTACACAACCTTTTCACAGACGTAACTGAAGAAATCACATGACGATTACAATCATAAAATAATCTGAAACTGAATTAAGACAGAAAATAATCACCTGAAATCAAGATTTCATGGTTTGCTTTTCATTACAATGATTAAAAGTGCTCAAATACACAAAATCACATATTACTGCCATCTTCAATGCGGTTGCCAGTCTTTTTAAGTTATTTCACATGAAGTCATAAATCCCCACTCAAGTAAGAGCGTGTGTCCTCATAGTCAAAAATGCTTAATAAATTCAATTAAACAACATAATTAATAATAGCGTCTGGTTTTCCAGCCCATTGTTGTTTATATATATCATAATACAAGTGAAATGTGTACCGTACGTTCACAAAAGAGACATATATGAAGCGTCTGGGTGTCAGAAAAGACACTCTCGGTGAAGAAGACATCATTGTTCTTCATTTCCTCCCTTTTCCTTTATGTCTCAAAGCCTGTATTTCCATTAATCCCAAGCGGACAGGAAGCAGCCGTGGATTAATACAGCACTTCCCGTTTCTGGGTTTGCGCAGCGGTTACTGATCTTAATTTCGATGCGTTGGGCTTGGCTTCTGTCCCAGATAACCCAATGATCCTGCCTGACAGGCAAATGAGTCGGAGAAGAAAACAAAGGGAAAGAGAGAAAAGCAAGAGCTCATAAAATACTTCAAAGGTCGACGAGCGCTGCGAGTCCATCAGGATTGTCCAAAACTGCAGGAAAACACATTTCTTTCTTAGTAGCTGGGACTGTTTTCTAGGTCAAATATCTAAAAATGCTTGAATTAAGATACATTTACATGGGACTCAAAAATACTTATGAAAGTGGTAAGAGATTGCTTTTAATGCATAAAACATGGTAAAAAGAGCTGTTAGTGAGGTCAGAAAGTAAACCAAGAACATAAAAACGGTATTCAAAAGGAAAACAAAGGCTATTTTTCTTTCCCCCGACAGATATAGGGCTGAGTCATACACGCAGCACAATAAGGCGCGAGACATGTTTGTTGTGATTTGTTGCTATTTTCAGACCAGCACAACTGTAATTTTCACGTTTTGCACCACTTTGTTTGACTATAAAATCCATTTGCGCTGCTTTGTGGACTCATGGGTGTGACAGTCTATAAAGGAGGTGTGTTAAGGCGCATTGTTGGCGCGTTTCTATTTTGAGGAACTGAACTAGACCGCACTACTGATCAACTGAAATCTGCTCTAAAGTTTAGCGCAGAGCACGTTATGAGCATTAAAACACACAGGATGTGCAAGAATACACAAATATCTTTACATATGACCAAGAATTTAAGGATTAAAATGTTACAAAAATAATTTTTACATAATTATAAAAACCACTGCCTCCATGCTATAATGCCTTTTCTCAGTTTATTCATGACAATTTTGTTTTGTATAATGTTGTTATTATTAGCAGTGCTATTTATTAAATGCATTTTTATATTTGTTTAATAAACAAGTTTAGATTTCTCCACCTGTCAGGTTTTGGACCATATGGGGCATAAGAAGAGGACATGCGCTTGGATATTACTCAGTTTTTTGACCACACGTCGTCATTATTGTTCATTTATTTGTTTGCTGGGAATCAGAACTGAGTTTATAAATAGTTTTGAAACAAATCTTTGCGCTTAACAAATTATATAGGCTGATGAATGTCTTCAGTGGAGTTTCCACCATTTTCTTACTCCACGAATGTAGAGGAGTAAAGTAAAGAGGAAGTAAAAAGGCTAAATGGAGGAGGCTCGTTCTTTATCCTCGCGCTGCAGATGCTCTGTTTAACTGTTTTCTCGGTAGTGAAGTGTTCAATTTATCCACTAAAGTCCACCATGTAATTAACAAATGCATCATGGCGTTATGCAACTGAATCTTAGGGAGTGGGAGATGAGACTCTGATTTTAATGCACGTTATACTCAAAACACACCCATAACTCATTAAGAGAATAAAGTTAGTTACCCTGATAGACCATCTGCCAGGGTGCAGAGCACATTTTTCTATCATATATATATCCTATATAATAGCAAAAGTAGATTGGGAAACACTCTATTTTAACAATCTAGGCACAAAGTCTAAAGCGCATTGCGCAAAAGCATTAAGGGCAAGTCCGAATGCACTTTTGCTATTTTAAGGAGGGGAAAATATGCATGGTCTAACAGGGTCGAGCTTATTCTTTTAATGAGTAATAGGTGTGTTTTAAGAACAAAAAAATCAGAGTCTTATCTCCCATTCCCTTTAAGAGTCAGCTGCATCATGCCATGGAGCATTTGCTATTTATATGGTGTAATTTGTAAGTGGAAAAACTAAATGGAAAAACTGAACGCTTCACTGGTGAGAAAATAGTTAAACTGACCATCTGCAGCGCATGGATAAAGAACGAGCCTTCTCCAATAGCCCTTTACTTTCACTTTCTCTTGCTCTCTTTTGTGGATAAGGATGATAATTGTGGATAAGGACTTACATTCATTAGCCTACATATTTAATTTAGTTTGTTAAGCGCAAAGATTTGTTTCAAAACTATTTCTAAATTCAGTTCAAATTTCCAGCAAACGACTAAATGAACAATAATAAAGAAGTTTGTTAAAAAAACTGAGTTATATTCAAACACACATGCTGTGTGCCATATGGTCTAAAACCTGACAGGTGGCCAAATCTAAGCTTGTTTTTAATAAAACAAATATAGACATGCCTATAAGAAACCACACTAACAATAATATTAATAATAACATTATACAAAAGCAAACTGTCATGAATAAACTAAAAAAGCCCCCCGAGATGAAGAAGGTATGAAGGCAGTAGTTTTTATATTTATGTAGAAAGTAATAATTTTAAAAAATTATTTAAATCCTTTAATTGTTTTACATTCGTAAAGTTATTTGTGTATTGATGTACATCCTGTGTGTATTAAGCAACGTGTAAGCGAGGCACAGAAGTTTTACAAGCGAGTTATAAACTATCAACGCACCAACATTGCGCTTTAACACACCTCTATTTCAGACTGAAACACCTATGAGTCAACAAAGTGGTGCAAATGGATTTGCTATTCAAACAACGTGACGGGAAAATTAAGGTTGCGTTGGTCTGAAAATAGCAACAGGTCAGGGCAAACACGTCTTGCGCCTTATTGCACTGGGTGTATGATGCTTTTGTGCCATGCGCTTCAGACTTGGTGCTAAAATAGAGATCATTGTTTTTATTTAAGCATTAATTTCCTTAATATTTATAAATCCATATTAATTTGAAATCAACTCATTTTGAAGTAATTTTATTAAATTATTTAATTTAATTATTTTAAATCATATAAATTTAAATATATTCTGTATATTTTTTCTAGCATCATTGACAGATGATTTTTGCGTTTGTTTATGCATGATCTCTCTTAATTGCAAACATTTTATATATTTTCTTTCTCTATTAACACATATTTTTATTTTAAAATCAAATTTTTTTCAGACTGCTTTGATTTTCTTTTAGAAATAATTGTATAAATGTATTTCTTTCTTGTGTTAAAGACAACCACGTGTTGTTTTAAAATATGTTTAGATTATTTTCTGACCTCATTACTAGATATTTTCTTTTCTGACTTGTCTGAGTTCACTCATGGATTATTAAAGCATTTTATTGTTTCAAAATATAGATTCAAAGGCATATTTCACCCAAAAATGAACAAAAATAAATTCTCTTCAAGGTGTTCTTTTATGAGTTTAAGTTTAGGACAGGATTTAGTTTGACTTTTAAAGAGGATAATCTGAAAAAAGCTAGAAAAACCAGTAACATTGACTTCCATAGTAGGATAAACAAATACACTGGAGGTCAGTGCCATTCTTTTGTGTTCAACAAAAGAAAAACAAACTCAAACAAGTCCAAATGATGATAGATTTTTCGGTGTTTTGTGTGAAACCATCCCTTTACTCTCTTGAGCACTTTTATTTCCCAAATAAATGTACCCAAATTTAAGAATCTTTAGATGTGTGTAATGAAAAACAGAACAGAAACAACAAGCGCTTATTCTTTGTTGCAGTGCAGCTGTTCTCCACATCTGGACTCATGCAGCTGCAAGCCCGTCTCCACTATCAGCTCCAAACGCAAATTGGTCAAATACCGTCATTCGGTTTTCTCCGAAAGCACTTGCTTTGTCTGACCAGTTGCAAAAAAAATCTGCACACTGCCTCAAATGTAATCCCTTATCCATGGTAAGTTTTATTTGGGGTTAGTGCTGGTGCAGAATCAGGCAAAGATGCTCCTCTGGTGTGCCATCAGTGCGGTCTGACTCTCTCGTCTTCTCTCTTTCTTTCTCTCCATCCGCACCTTCCAGCATACCGCACTCAACGCCAGCAGAACCAGCCCAGCCGACAGCAGCACCAGTCCGAAGTACGATATGGTGGATCCATGTGAATTAAAGGTGTACGCGACCACGGTCACAACGATGCCGGCGATCAGGACCACCACGCCGAATGGGACAGTGCAGCGGTAGCAGGACAGCTCCGCGCCGCCGGTGGCCGCCGTTAGCTGCACCTCGTTCACCAGAGGAATGATGACGGCCGGGGCTTGGGCTTGAGGCTCGTTGTTGTTGGTTTTCTCAGCCAGGATTCGCTCGGGAGCTCCAGGGATGGTCATGGTGTCTTTCAGGAGCTCGGTGGGCATCGCAGGGTCAAGGGGCAGAGTGTTTTGAGGCATCAGCCGCAGTCGGAGCCGTCTCTAATGTGAGCCCTTTTTGTTTTCTCACCTCTGCCACACCTGCAGGAAACACAAGGCAAACTTATTTACAAAGAAAAATCTGAAAAAAAAAACAGTTCACACCTGAGGCCTGTTTGGTAAAAAGAGTTGAACAAACTCTGGATTGGAGAGTGAGAATTGGGTTGACAAATCCAAAGACATGCTAACTGAGTAAAGATCAGGTTAAGTTGTAACTCACACATTAGTGCAAGAAACAGCCAATCACAGGACACATGAGTGCAGAAAACAGCCAATCACAGGACACATGAGTGCAGAAAACAGCCAATCACAGGACACATGAGTGCAGAAAATAGCCAATCACAGGACACATGAGTGCAGAAAACAGCCAATCACATGACACATGAGTGTACCGATCAGCCAATCACGACACATGAGTGCAGTAAACAACCAATCACATGGCACGAATATAGCAAATAGACAAACGCATGACATAACACAACACGATTGTATCTAACAGCCAATCACAAGACATATCAGTGTATCAATCAGCCAATTACAACACGAGTGCAATAAACAATCAGTCACATGACACATGAGTATAGCAAATAGCCAATCACACAACACAACACGATTGTAGCTACAGGCACAAACAAGATCAGTGCAGCTAACTTGCGCATGGAAAAGATTCAATTTATGAATAACCTGCTGCTATAGTTAATTCAGTGTGTGTGCATATTAGCCTCGGTGTTTAAGCTTAGAACTTTAAACTAGAGCACAAAAGGCAAAATCTTTAGTTGCAGCAGTTTCGTTCTGTGCAACGTTGAGAAGCCTTTACGATTAAGTTTCCAAATGTTTTCGGCTGCTTGTGCCACTCACTCGCTTAATGTCAGGTGACTCACGCTCTGCGCAGCTTTCAACTGCAGCTCGTGCTGTACTGAACAGACAAATGTCACGTCATAACTATTGCGGCCGTTTTTTGACTGAACTAAATTTATTCTTGTTGTTTTGATCATCCTATTTTGGAGAGCTGGAAGAAATTGTCTCAATTATTTACATAAATTATTTATAATTTCGGAGATTCAGCGTGTCGGCGGCCATCTGCTCGTCATACTGAGCAGAGCAAAGATAGTTGCACCACAAGATGCCCACAAAGATCGCATCGAAAGTCCTTAGGGGAGAAAAACGCAGCGTAAATTTCAAACTACAGCTGATCAAGTCGATCTTTTTATTTATGTTGTAGTGCTGATTACCATAGTAATTTAGTGTTTGCTTTGCTTTGGCTTTCTTTGGAGTTAATTATTGTGATCTCCTGATTGCAACAGAAATACGGAGAAATCTCTGTAGAATGATGGCATTTCATGCCGCTCAGCCTTATAATCTTAAAATGTGAGCAAAATAACCTGTTTTATAATCACTTTAGACATTACACTAGAGAATCATTCAGATACTAGCACTAAAGTGACGTTTGTGAATTAGCAACTGTTTCTGCTGTTCTGACCGCCATCACACTGCTCATATAACATAATAGTTTTAGTAACTCATTTCTAATAACGGATTTATTTGATCTTTGCCATGATGACAGTAAATAATATATGACTTGATATTTTTCAAAACACTTCTATACAGCTTAAAGAGACATTTAAAGGCTGAACTAGGTTAGTTAGGTTAACTAGGCAGGTAAGGATAGACTACCAAAAAAAATTAGCTAAAAGGGGGCTAATAATTTCGACCTTAAAATGAAACATTTAAAACTGCTTTTATTATAGATGAAATAAAACAAATGAGACTTTCTCCAAAGGAAAAAATATTAAAATATTATCAGACATACTGCAAAAAGTTCCTTGCTCTGTTAAACATCATTTGGGAAATATTTAAAAAGAAAAAAAAAAAAAAAGGTAGGGGCTAATAATTCTGACTTATTATATACATATATATATATATATATATATAGGGCTGGGCGATTTTTTCCGATTAATTCGAATTTACGTTTTAAGACAATTTTTTTTTCAAATTAAATCAAGATATCACAATTTTTTTTTTTTTTATAAAAATATTAGATACATCGTAATTGCACCAATGCGCTTTGGTTCACTCTCGGTATGAAGCAGGTCGCACACCAGAGGCGCCGCTCGACGATGCGCTATGCAGTTCATATTTCAGCAGCAGTACTTTCATGTCAAATATCATGCGAATGTGCACGTCTGGTGTGTGATACTTTAAATTGTCATGTGCGCGCCGTGTCGCTGCGCTTCTGGTGTGCGACCTGCTTAACTGTATGTCTGGTTTTCAATCAAGGTAGTGACGAACTGAACACAGAGACTAGACAGCCTAACCCAATGCATGAAGTTGTAGACATGCTGGTGCAAATACAACAAATACAAGCATTTAAGTGTCTTCAGTTGTGTATTTTTCTTTTGTTAATACCCTTTCATCAAACGCGCTGTGGTCGCATAATACAGAGAGTGGTGCAAAGCGCATCAAATGATCGGTATTTAAAAGGGGGAAACAAGAAAAATAGAATAAATAAATAATTTTATATTAGACACACATCTGGTGCTTGTATTTGCTCTTGCTGTACGTCCACAATTTCACGCATTGGGTTAAATTAGGCTTTACAGTTTCCATGTTCAGTCCTTATCTAAGGCAGCAGTATTACAACCTGTCATCCAATCAGAAAACAAAGTCAAAGCCGAGCTGACAGCCAGTCTTTCCTAGGCTCAGCAAAACTTGCAAAAAAAATACCTCTGTATTCCTGCAACTGCAGTATTAACACAAATGTTTTTTATTCAAATCTTCTGCCACGATTTTTCGTGAACTTGTTTTACATTTATTTACACCTTGTTGACCAATTTATGTATGGCATGGCCATTAAAATACAATGTTCCTTAACCAGATGGTTTTTCAAGTTACTACAAAGAGAATGTTACTGTTGTAATGTTAAAAGTTGACTAGTTACACGATAAAAAAAAAAATCGAAATCGAAATCGAGAATCGGTTAAACTTTATAAAAAACCTAGATAGATTTTTTTTTTGCCAAATCGCCCAGCCCTATATATATATATATATATATATATATATGTGTGTGTGTGTGTGTGTGTGTGTTTGTGTTTGTGTGTGTGTGTGTGTGTGTGTGTGTGTGTGTGTGTGTGCGCGTGTATACCACATACAGTTGAAGTCAGAATTATTAGCCCCTTTCGAATTTTTTTCTTCTTTTTAAAATATTTTCCAAATGATGTTTAAAAGAGCAAGGAGATTTTCACACTATGTCTGATAATATTTTTTTTTTCTGGAAAAATTCTTTTTTGTTTTATTTCAGCTTGAATGAAAGCAGTTTTTAATTTTTTAAACACCATTTGAGGGACAAAATTATTAGCCCCTTTAAGCAAAATTTTTCCTCGATAATCTAACAAGCAAACCATCAATATACAATAACTTGCCTAATTACCTAATTTAAGTTAACCTAATTTATAAGCCTATATAAACCTAATTTAAGCCTTTATATGTCACTTTAAGTTGTATAGAAGTGTCTTGAAAAATATCATTATATAAAATATTATTTACTGTCATCATGGCAAAGATAAAATAAATCAATAATTAGAAATGAGTTATTAAAACCATTATGTTTAGAAATGTGCTGAAAAAATCTTCTCTCCATTAAACAGAAATTGGGTAAAAAATAAACAAGCGGTCTAGTAATTCAGAGGGGCTAATAATTCTGACTCCAACTGTATGCAATGTATATGTTAAAACATACGCGCTACAAGTAAAAAAACAAAAAAAAAGGCAATACTCAAATTAGTTTTACAAAGCATATAGCACCTTTCAAACATACAGACCCGGAAAATTACCGGCAATTTTCCGGAAAGGTTGTATGTGTGAACAGGCCCTTTTTGAAAATACCTGTAAATTCATTCTGGCTATTTTCCGGAAAGAGAAGTTGTAACATTACCGGTAATTTGCCGGAATGCTGCGCTGTGTGAATGCAGAAGGAAGATTGCCGGAAAGAGCGCGTGCACGTCTAGAACGTGCTGACGTGAGACACCTGCTTTAGCCAATCCGAACAGTCAGACGCATTCACGTGCGCACGGTTTATGAAAATAAAAGCCTTCGAATATTTTTCCAGACACCTTTAGCTGCTAGATGTTAGTCAAATAATGTTTCTATGTTCCTACTTAATGCTAACTGTGTAAATAATTATCGATAGAATGTTTATGATAATCCGTTGTTTGTTTACCTTCAAGCTTTGTGTGCGCCTATGAGCGCCCATAGCGCCAGCACACACACATATCATGAACATCTCGACATGCGAAAGTGTTTTTCTATGTTTTCATTGGAGTTGTACTCAATACTGATCCATCCAAAGAGTTTGTAATGTAGTCAAATGTTTACAAACACAAGTGCAGCCGTTTAGAGGTCATTTCTGGTTAATTATGTCAGAATGTACCGGCATTTTGCGATGAATATGTGAATGCTCTTTTCCGGAAAAATTCCGTAACGTCCTCGCCTGTGTGAACAGCACTTTTTTGAATTTACTGGTAAAGTCGTTCTGGAAATTTTCCGGATATTTACCGGTATCACTGTGGGAAAGGGGCTAAAGACACAAGTATATATAATACAAATAAAAGTGATCATTTACAGACTTAAAATGCTAGATTTTCCCAAGTGTTGTATAACTGAGTATTGAAACGTTTTATAATATTTCCAATGGTATTTTTCTCATGGAGAAAGTCTTCTTTTAGTTATTGTTAAAGAATGTAAAAAACCACAACAATCAAAATGAAAAGATAAACAAAATAACTTGAATGAAAATGTGGGATCAAAATGCCTTCTAGTTGGTAGGACTCTCTGTGTGGTTGCCATGGAGTTGCAAAGCCATGCCTTGCATGTTCTGCATGTTCCTGCTCCAGCACATGTCTTTTATAGCGTCCCCTGATTGCTGTTGTATTTCAGCTTGCCTCTAAGATGTTTTGAGCGATTTATATGTGTTGCTAAGCTAGTCGCTAGGGCGTTTGTTTATTTATGGGATGCAGAACCAGTGACATACTGCAGTTTAATAATATAGTGATCTAAACAAACGTTTCGAGCGAGAGTAACGATGATGTGAGCGGTAAACACGAGGACTTCGGTGTTGTTTTGGTTGTGAAATGGGAAGAGCCCCTCAGATCCACTCGCCGACCGCAGACCAATGACGCAGACAGAGCTGCCACATTCCCTGGAGAGCTCAGCATATGACATTACAGACCGGCCCATGAAACACGAGCGGCGTATAAATTATCAGTCATTTCTCAAGGGGCTCTTTCTTAAGAGGGTCAGCAGAACTTGCAAACGCCCTGTGACACTTCTCTCCGACCGTTACGCATTACATTCTGCCCCCATAAAGAGTTTCTATGTATTTTTACCATTAGAAAAAGTACAATGGTTTACAGCTTTATAGTTTCTATTCTACACTGAGCATGCGCTGTTCAGAAATGTGCCAGTGTTTTGTGTTTTTCACACACACATATTTATATATGTGTATATACACAGTTGAAGTCTGAATTATTGTTTTATTATTTTTTCAACACATTTCTAAACATAATAGTTTGCATAACCCATCTCTAATAACTGATTTATTTTATCTTTGCCATGATGACAGCACATACTATTTGACTAGATATTTTCAACACACTTTTATACAGCTTTAAGAGACTTTTAAAGGCTTAACTAGGTTAATTAGACATGTTAGAGTTATTAGGCAGGTCATTGTATAACGATGGTTTGTTCTGTAGACTGTCTAAACAAATATTGCTTAGGGGGGCTAAAAATATTGATCTTAAAATTGTCTAAAAAAAATGTAAAACTGCTTTTATTCTAGCCGAAATTAAACAAATAAGACTTTCTCCAGAAGAAAAAATATTATAGGAAATACTGTGAAAATGTCATTGCTCTGTTAGACATTGTTTAGCCTAAAAATTTCTATATTTAATTCAATTACAGTTAAAGTCAAAATTATTAGCCCCCCTTTTACTTTTTTTATTTTTTAAATATTTCCCAAACAATGTTTAACAGAGCAAGGAAATTTTCACAGTATGTCTGATAACCTTTTTTCTTCAGGTAAAAGTCTTATTTGTTTTATTTCGACTAGAATAAAAGTAGTTTTTAATTTTTAATAAACACAATTTTAAGGTCCAAATTATTAGCCCCTTTAAGTTATATTTTTCCGACCGTCTACAGAACAAACCATCATTATAAAAGAGAAAATAAATCAGTTATTACAAATGAGTTAAAAAAAACTATTATGTTTAGGAATGTGTTGAAAAAAATCTTCACTGCGTTAAACAGAAATCGGGGAAAAAATAATTTAGGCGGCCTAATAATTCTGACTTTAACTGTACATCTAATTTATTAATCAAACTTGTTGTTATGTTTTCAGTGTTTTGATTGATATCGAGTTTTTCTTAATGACATTTGTCATATTAAATAAATGGGGGGGTGGTAAAATGTATATTGAAGTTATTTATTATTTTAATTATTAATATAATTTAGGATACAGATCAGAGCAAACTATTTCTTAACTCGTAAAGGGCAGACCCCCCCCCCCCCCCCCATCAATTTATTACTGGGGTCAGACCCCCCTGAAACTTCCACCCTGGTTTTCTACTATCATACATTTTTAAATGTGGAAAGATTTGGTTCCTCAGTGTCTTTATAGATAAATTGGTAACACTTTATTTTGATGGTCCATTTGAGTGTTAGTAGACTGTCTGCTTATTATCTGTTGATACTGCTCCTTCAGCAGACATTTAACTAACTATAAGAAACTTTGCAAGTACCTGTCAACTTACACTAACTCCAACCTAACAGTCTATTTATAATCTAATGAGAAATAGTTAGCATGTAGATGCAATGCAACTCAAACTCAACGAACAGACCATCAAAATAAATTGTGACCAATAAATGTGTTGTAGTTTTAAATGAGTTTTTGTTTGTTTTTTACTTTGCATTGTACTTTTATGAACCTTCCATATGGGTAGACAGGTAAAAGTACAATCAGTAAATTAGTAAATACTGTAAGAGTAAAACGTCGTCAATGTATTTGAAACTGACGATGAGGGCTTAATGTATTGAAAGAAACTTAAAAATGAGAATTGCATTTAACTCCATGATTTCTGTATGTACTCTGAAGGAGCATTATTTTCAAAGTAACATTATTTTAGGAGTCGTTTTGAAGTTGAAAACTTGTTTATAGCTAAATTTCATAAAAGCAGACTGTGTCTGAAGTCTAATAGGCAAAATATGACGAGTTTAGATGCAACAAACCTTTAAGTGTCATCTGAAATTTTCATATAAACTTATTTTTCTTTGGCTGTTGTGTGTTCTTTCAGTAATTTTACTCTTAGTGCAAAGAATAGGATATTTTCATTGCCTGTAAAGTTAAATAACTAAACATAAACATAGGAGGCTGAGAAAAACACAAATTTTTGAGAAAAATTTTAGATGGCACATAGAGGTTTTTGCATCTGAACTCTTCATATGATAATCGGTATAATCTTTATGCACTGATTATGTTCAGTATTTTATTGCTTTACATTTACATTACTGCAGGAGTGAATTAAAATGTCCAAATCTATGACTTCAAATTAAATTTGCAATCAACAGTTTTGTATTGTACACATGTTTCAGTATTTATTAATTTGCTTACTTTGTTAAATTAAGCAGAATGTTTCTCACACTCATATTCATACAGAATTCATCATTTACATCATATTAAATGTACAGTTGAAGTCAGAATTATTCGCCCCCCTTTGATTTTTTTCTTCTTTTTTAAATATTTCCCAAATGATGTTTAACAGAGCAAGGAAATTTTCACAGTATGTCTGATAATATTTTTTTCTTCTTGAGAAAGTCTTATTTGTTTTATTTTGGCTAAAATAAAAGCAGTTTATAATTTTTTTAATAAACAATTTATGGACAATATTATTAGCCCCTTTAAGCTATATTTTTTCGATAGTCTACAGAACAAACCATCGTTATACAATAACTTGCCAAATTACCCGAACCTAAAATAAATAAATAAATAAATAATCAGTTATTAGAGATGAGTTATTAAAACTATTATGTTTAGAAATGTGTTAATAAATCTTCTCTCTTTTAAACAGAAATTGTGGGAAAAAATAAGGAGGGGGGCTAATAATTCTGACTTCAACTGCAAATATAGTGCTTCAAGTGCTGTTGATTTTGTCTATATCTATAAAATAAGACTATATATATAAAGTGCTTATAGTGCTGTCGAATGTTTAATTGCAATTAATCATCCAGAAATAAATAAGTTCGTATTTCCATAATATTTGCACACTCGATGTGTATAGATGTTTTGTATGTGTGTGTGTGTATATATATATATATACATACCCCCACACACACACACACACACACACACACAAAACATCTATACACTATATATATATATATATATATATATATATATATATATATATATATATATATATATATATATATATATATATATATATATATATATATATTAGGGGTGTCACGATTTCGATTTTTAATCGAAATCGATCGAAATTTATGCTCAACTTCGATTATCGAATCAAAAAATAGAATTGTCGATGCTGTCACACCCCCTTGTCACGTTAGCTTGGCATGCCGAAAAAACAGGCTTGTTGAAGTGCTTGTTAAACTGCAGACGCAGGAGACCCGTCGACAGAACTTAAACCCTCTCCTCTTTCAATGAAGTCGCTGGTGTGGAAGCATTTTGGATTCCCAGTTAGTTATGTTGACAACGTTCGTGTTGTCGACAAAAAAAAAAACACAGTTTGCAAGCTCTGCTATGTACGTATTACGGTTGGGATGATAGACGATAGGCGCATCGCGATCCTCCGCCCCGCACCTGTTGCAAATCCGCAAGTCAGGTAGTTTAAACGGTAGGCTACAAATAATTCATTCGTTATTAATTAATTAATTAATTAATTAATTATTCATAATTGAAAATCGAATCGAATCGTGACTTTAGAATCGAAAATGTAATCGAATC